AGTTACACATGCATCTACATCGCAAAATGAGATAAGCTACTGATAAAATATAAGAGGATTAAGTTTGTTACCTCCAAAATCGAAGAGCAACACCAATGGAGGGGAGAGAGCAAGAACAACAGCAAGCTGAAGAACAGAGGCAGTGAGTTTGAATGGAATGGCTCGGGCTCGGGGAGGAAGAAATGAGCCGTTGTATAGGCCCGCATAATTAGTCCCGGTTAGGTGGCCAAACCGGGACTAAAGATTAATATTTATTCCCGGGGTATCACCCAAACCAGGACTAAAACCTTTAGTCCCGGCTGGTATTACCAACCGGGACTAAAGGTAGGGACCTTTAGTCCCGGTTGGTATTACGAACCGGGACTAAAGAGTCCTTTAGTCCCGGCGGCAAAAAATGCCGAGGCTAATGCTAAATTGGGACATCGTTCTAAAGTCTGTTCTCTAGTAGTGAAAGGCAAAGATAATGCTGTCTCGCACTTTCCTTATCCATGTTTCTTGGCTTTTTATTCTTATTCCTCTCTTATCTCGTCTGAGTACGAATCAAGCTTTCATCTAATCATTAAGGAGCTCACAAGCACATCCCCGCGGGTGCTCCTACTCTGATTCAGGCGACAGCACTGCCGCTTCCATCGCCGGCCCTGCTCCACCACATCCTAGTCAAGATGGAGGAGGAGGCCACCAACAAGAGATACGAAGTAGACATCCTCATAGACGATGTCCTGGTCCTTATCCTCTGCTGCCCCACCGCCCGCACCTTGTGCAGCTATAAGTGTGTGTGTCGCTCCTGGTACCGCCTCATCTCTGAATCCAAGCACCATAAGGAGCTGCCCCAGTTTGTCGCCGAATTCATATATGGCAACTGGAAAGGCAAACGTCGATTCACCAGCTTCATCGGTGAATACCCCTCTTTTTCCTTCTTGCCCTTCCCCATTCACGATTTAGTCATCTTAGATTGCTGCAGATGCCTCTTCCTCTGCTGGTGCATTGGGCTTCGCTATGTTGTCTGCAATCCGGTGACTAGAAAATTAGTGGTACTACCATATAGCAACCTTTGTTATGGTTTAGCTCGCTTGGGGTTCGATCCCACAATCTCCTCGCACTTCCATGTGGTAGAATTGTGGGTAAGGTCGCATGGGTGTTAGTTGTCAGCATCTACTCATCCAAAACTAGAGCATGAATGTGTAAACAATCTGAATGGGGAGATGATATCCTAGTATGCAAATTTTTAGGAACTATATTTCTTAATGGTTTTATGCACATGCTAGAGTTGTCGCACATAGTTGCTGCTGATATGGTGGAAAATAAATGGAGGAAAATTCTTAGACCACTAGGTCCTGCAATGTTCATCCATGGAGATCAGGGTCAGTTGTGTCTAGGTATTGCAGATATTTTCAATACGTCTGACCTTTCAATCTGGATCCTTGAAGACTATGGTACTAGTAAATGGACATTGAAGCATACGGTGAACACGCTGTAGCTATTTGGACTGAACAATATTGGACTCGGTTCCGAGACTGCCAATGCGGACTATAGAGTGATTGCAGTTCACCTAGAATGGAATTTGATTTTCCTTGTTGGGGAGGACAGAACACTGATGACATATGACACGAGCCGCAGAAAAGTTCATGTCCTCTCTGTCCGGGTCGCTCGCTATCCTAAAAGTACCTGGAGTATTTATTTGAACGGACCTCACTATCTGCTTTATGTTCTCTTGTTCATGGAGTCATCAACAGAGCAGTAAAGGTGCATATGTTGTGTTTTATTGTTAGGACATATCTTTGTTCAAGTAGGGAGTTGTTTTGAGTCTATATATAGTCCAATTTTGGTTTGCAAACTAAACTAATGGTATGTTGAATATTATTAATTCTGCTGCTTTACATTATGCAGGTTTTGAAGTCTCTGTGCTTTGGAATGATTTTTCTGCAATGGCTATGGGGGGAAGAAGAGGGGATGCATACTACATTGGCTGCCAAGCTGATCAAGGAGTGCAAATCTAAAGGAGCGGAGCATATCTACCTCATTTTAGTTACGTAAGTCTGTAGGGAGCACAACCTTTATTACGGTATCTATGTACCGCTTGTGTTCATTCATCAGTTGACACAGTTATTATGTTAGTGTCGAGCATTGTTATTATAACAAGTACTTTTCGTTATGGACATGATGAATGATGTGTAATAATTATATCTGTATGGTGTGTGTTCAGTAAGTTATTAAGGCCTAACTGAATCTAGTAAAGACATTGTCAAAACCGGATGCAATTCTGCCACCGTCGAATGTAAGGGCCGTTGGTTGTTTTGTCATCACCGCCGTACCACTCGCCTTTGGTAAAGCAGACGGCCATCACCACCGCAATTCATCAGAAGCGGCAGGGGTCAATAGTGCATCACCGTCGAATCGTTTAGTAACCCGACACCAACTAAAGGATCATCATGGGCAGATCATACTGCAACGCGACGGTGACCATGCCCTATGACCAGACGGTTCATACGCTGAAGCGATGGTGATGTTCGCCTCGACACAGGCAGGTCACGCTCCAATACGATGAAATAAGGATCTGATCACGGACGGATCATAAGCCATGCGGCGGTGTTAGTGCATACCCACACACGCGGGTCATGCTCCAATGCGATGGAAGTGAGGACCTTATCACGGACGGATGATAAGCCAATACGGCGGGGTAGTGTACACCCCAGTCGGTCTTAGATAGCGACGGTGATGGCTATGAGTATCACTGCCGACAGCTTACTACCGAGGCCGAAATTGGATTGCGATGTGCGTTACGATGTGGCTGTGAAAGGTGCGAGTGTAGTAGTGATAATCACCATTGTAAATAATAATCGTTGTATCTAAGTAATTAGTAAGCTCAAAATTTGGGAAAAAAGAATCAAAATTTAGGTTCTTGTCATCAAAATATAGACTATGGCTAAAGCCATCATAGTTTAGATAAATGGTTCAACTAAATGTATATAAATAGATGTGCTATGTAAATAAAAAACAATGGGTATGGATGAAAAATACATAAAAATCAATTATTGATAGATTATCAAAACTGAATACCTGTTATAGCTATTGCTTTAGAACATTAGTGAAGAGGAAAAATATTTAATATAAGTAATTTTTATTAGTTAGTGTCTCCTAAGATTCTAACCCGTGCGAGAGCACGGGTTGATGAACGAGTGCAGAACAACCAATGAGACCGTTGCACGGGTTGATGAACTAGGGCAATATTAATGGGAGCAACCAATGAGACCGAATGGCAATATTTTGGGCACAAAATATGGAGAGTTTGGATGCTAATAAGGAATTTTGGAAACTACTCTCTATGCCAAGAAAATCGCGAGGGTATATATGGGATGGGAGGAAGATCGAAATTGCACATGGAGGAGGGATCTGTTATCACTACCAAACAATGCAAGGGGGCGCTAGTGTACTTTGTATTAACCAAACTCATACCTTTTATTTTAATCTATATATTCGTACCTAATAATACTAAAGTTAATAGTGATTCTGCTATACGTCACGTTTATTACTTTCTAAAATACCCTCGCGCACCTCCTTTAATTTTCCCGTTTGTGATATGTACTTGTGACCTATGCCCATACGAGTTAGAACCACCCGATTTCAGCCATGGTACGAAGCATGCTTCCAATGTGTAATGGAACAAATGACATGATCCTTAAATAAGTCTTCGAGCGACAAGTTGTCTAGGTGACTGCACAACAATCTATAAACGCAGTATGGAGTTCGATTCCAAAGTGCATGCAATGGAATAGATTACGTAATTCTTGAATAATTATTCAAACCACAAATCATCTACATGTACATGACTGCGCAACAAGATAAACGATTTTAAGGTGTATTTGAACAGACGAGGCCCTGCAGCCCTGCTACTACTATTGATGATAGGAAGGATGTGCCTACTTTGTACTCCGATTTTGCTCTCATCCAAAGTCCAAGCTTGTCTCTTCTATTTTGCTTGGTTTCAGGTGCTCACAACTCCTCGTATCCCTGGCTGAATTAATGCATGGCTGCCCTCTCGTTGAGTCCGTTAGCCATTTAGGAGCCTCCACATGCAACGGTGTTATCATCTGTTTACACGGGAAAACGAACAAACGCTGAGGAATAACGGGAGCATGCATGGTGATTATTAAGGGCCCGTTCGTTTCCAGCCCGGAATGGCCTGGAACTGTTCCGGACCTACAACCATTCCATACTTTGTACTGGGCTGAAAATGTTCGTGGCCGTTCCAGGCCAGGAATGCCTAACCGAACGGGCCCTAAATGAAAATGGAGACGCTTGAAGTCCTCCTTGGTCACTGTGTGCACGACGGTTTAGACTTTTGACGGAGGGAGTAGTTGTCTTCTCTGCAGCGAGACACGGACAGCAATGTCTCATTGCAATGAGACCCACCTGTCAGTGACTATCTACGTGCTGAAGTTTTTACTTTGGTCTTGTTTAGTTTCAGGGTGTAAAGTTTAGTGGTGTCACATCGGGTGTCACATGAGGATGTTGTATGGGGTGTTCGGATACTAATAAAAAAATAAATTATAGAATCCGTCAACAAACCGCGAGACAAATTTATTAAGCCTAATTAATCTGTCATTAGCACATGTGTTGCTGTAGCACTTCATTGTCAAATCATGGACTAATTAGGCTTAAAAGATTCGTCTCACAAAGTAGTCGCAATCTGTATAGTTAGTTATTTTTTTAGTCTATATTTAATACTCTATGCATGTGTCTAAACATTCAATGGGATAGGGTGTAAACTTTTAAGGGAGAAACTAAACAAGGCCTGTATCAGTGTGAGCCGTTGTTTGTGAAAATGAAGAGAGGAGTTGGACAGCTTGGACTTCCGCTACACTGAGTGTTGGCCTTGACCCTAAAAATAGCCGCGCCGTGGCCTTTGTTTCTCACATCAGTTGACGCAGCACAAACTTTGGCTAAGCAGTGGTACTGTGTGTATCGATCTGTCCATCAGCCAGCACCTTCTTCTTTCTCCCATGGCCACCACCACTCCTTGCATCCTCCAAGTCACCCCTTCATATGCAGCCACACAGGGCAATGAGTTCAACTTCAGTGGCCTGTACCTGTACCACACGTACAAAGGCCCTAACGCCAACCAGGTGGAAACCATAGTGAGACACCAGTTTGGCACATTGGCCGTTAACAACTGGGTTATTCGTGATAGCCTCTCAGGTTCCGCTGAAGTCATTGCGCGTACCCAGGGCCTGCATGTCAATGCCGGTGACTGGCATAACTCCTTCAGCCTAGTGTTCGAGGATGAAGGGTACGTCTGGTCAATCTGGTCCATAACATATATATACTCTGATGTGGTGTGATATGGCATGCGGGCATGCATGGTGTTTGAATCGAAATTACACTTTGATGATTCATTTATTTTATATTATATTTTTATGATTATTGGATAGTATGTTTGATTACAAATCTAACGATCTCTTGATTATAAAGTTTGTCTCTTGATATACCTGGGCTTATAAACCGAAGCGAGTAGTATAATATACATGTATACCAATGCGCATGTATCAAGCTGCATTTTCATTGAGATGTTAATCTTCTAATATACACTGAATATGAGGTTGAATAGCGCAGGTTTACGTGACTGACACTTCAGGTGATGGGAGTACCAGTTGAGAGGGAGGTGAATGGGCTATCGTTGGGGGAACTGGACGCTTTGCTATGGCAACCGGTGTCATCAAGAAAAGGGTGCACGAAAGAACTGCGGAGGGGAACATTATAGAGCTTACGATGCAAGGATTCTGTCCACTGCTCAAGGGATCAAGGGTACGACCTAGAATCAATCGACATATATATCTTTGATGAGCTTTGCTAATAGTATTGATAAAAAATTATTTACCACAAGAGACAAATAAATACATTTATTTAATTGATTCGTGCAGAGCATTATTGTTGCCACAAAGATTGGTCCATGGGGTGGAAACGGAGGGTCTGCTCAAGACATCACAGAGCCACCAAAGTGCCTGGAGAGCATCACAATTAGCAGCGGTTCGGTTGTTGATTCCATTGCGTTTTCTTATGTTGATCAAGCTGGTCAGACGCACACTGCAGGTCACGGGGCGGTCCTGGTGAAAATCCTAATACGGTAAGCTACCCAGTAGATGTAGATTTGCAGATCTCCCAGGAATAAACACTGACTAGTCTCCTCTTCACGCAGACCGAGCTCTCAGACTCTGAGTTCGTGAAGGAAGTTTTTGGAACTTTCGCCATGTATGTGGGAGTAGTCAATGTCATAAACTCAATTAAGCTTGTCACCAACGTGAAGACGTACGGTCCTTTCGGTCAGGAGACCGGGACCTTATTCAGTGTCCCTGTGCAGGGCAACAGTGGTGTGGCTAGCTTCTTCGGGCGCAGCGGCAAGTTCCTGGATGCTATTGGTGTCTACGTGCATCCGCTCTGAACAGCCCGCAGCCAGCTGCTCGTCGTCTGATTTCATTCAGGCCTCCTGTTTCTTGCAATAATTAAGTCCACCTCTGTCAGAGGGTTGTCATCATTCATGCTAATGGTCCACCTCTGTCGTTGTGCGCTGCTGGAGTGACTAGTATGTTCAAGTGTCTACGTCATTGTACTGTGTTGTGTTTGTGTCTAATAAAAGTCTCGATGAGAGACTGTCTGAGATGGTGTCAATATGATATGTCAATGAACTGGTTACTTGCATGAGCTTGTGCTTAGTCAGGAGTCAATCATCGTGCCCTTACCATGCATATTTTTAGGAGTCTCCATTCGAGGTCATTTGAAAAACTAGTGGCAATGCATGTGCGACACGTGTTTATAGCTAGGACACAAGACATCCTATTATATTAGTTTCACTAATTATCAATTTTACCATCAAATTATTCATGGACAGACTTTGACAAATCCAAATTCCAAGATTATATAGTCACAGTAGGAGATGTGTACTCAAATGATAAGATAGTCACAGTCATCCTATTCAGTCTGATTTAATTGCAACCGACTGGAAGCATGCATGCTTTCAGGTTACAACATATTGCTCAGATAAAAAGGAGTACACTTTTAAGTGTACAAAGCATTTGCTTCATCTCGAGAACTTCATTGGATTAATCCATTGCTATCCACCACTTCAATGTTGCTCTACATGACAGTCTTAATTATTGCTTTGGCACCTCATTGGATTAACAAATTGCTATCTTCATCGGTGTCCATTCGTACCTCATGGAGATAACATGGCATTTCAGTGTAAACAGTATGCTTTTGATGTGTAGAGTCACTTAATTTACAGACCCGTCCACATTAGACATCTTCCCAATAGCAGTCTAGCAGACAACCAACTCAGTAACTCTCTATACACAAAAAAAAAAATGCCAACTCCTATGGTTCATCTTCTCTATACCTTATATGTTTCTGTCGAGATGAATTTGATTGAAAAACAATTACAACACTAACTTGCCGCCAATTATGACAGGAGTTGGGAGCCCTCCAACCTCTTGAATTATTCTCTTCTGTCTGGTCAGGTTCTTGATTTCTGTTGCATTGGTATCCTTTGGCCAACTACGAAGAAGGTAAGCAAGATCAACCTTCAGAGTTTCTGATTAGACTGTTCTTGTAACCTTCGCCAATACTTATTCTCTTCATTCTTTCGCCGGTACTAATTCTCTTCATTCCTTGGTGACCTGCATGTGGGCTTCTTGTTAATTGAACTGCTCGCATTTTTTATTGGATTCCTTCCGGTTTAGCCTGAACGCCACAGCCTGCCCCACAGGTTGCCCGCACTTGTCTACTTTATAGTGCAGCTGCATGACCAATGGTGATCCTCGTGGCAAGATGGGAGTATTCCTGCATTGTGCAATACATACAATAGATTAAAAATGTAGAAAATGTTGGGTCATTCATTTACTCATACAAATTGAGCCTCGTATAGGTTCTTTTCAGACAATACAGAACAATTCAAATTCAGCAGATAAAATGTCCAGGCTGCTATTTATTTCGACAAGGAAATCACAGACAATACTTCCACTCTAAAACCTAAGCCAACCAATCATCACAACGTTTTTCTTTAGGAACTACAATTCAACGCACACTTCCCATAGTCGAAAAAAGGTAAAAAAATAAAACCGTTCCAGATGTTGACCTTGTGTTAGACTTGACAACCACATGTAGGCATTTTAAAAACAGAAAATGACCAAAAACAATATGATTATTGTGACTGTAAATCTAATATAAAATAAGCAGAAAAAAAATACAGACCAATTGGCTGGAATAATCTTTGAAGTATGACAACTTAAAAACTTACACACCTTGTATAAAATGTAAATGTAAGTATTGGCCCACAAGATCACCGGCACGGGTGAGTCGACCACTCACCAATGTTGCCGACCATGACTATCGTTGTCCGACCACACACTATGGCTAGAGGTAGAAGAAGGGAGGAAGAACAGAGCACACACACACAACACAAGCACCAGCGTTGGCCGGAGCTCTGCAGAGGAGATGGCAAAACTGAACTCACTCTCTTTACTGAGTTGCAGTGGCAAACTATATATACAACTCTATCCATTAGTCCTAGTACAGCTGCCATGCTGCTACAGTGACTAGATAAGACAGCAGGACTGACTCTGGTGCCTGTCCCTACTGTGGCTACAGTGCAGCAGGTGAGCCATTCGGCGCCTGCCCCTGCATCGGCTACAGTACCACAGCAGGGAGCCTTTTCGGCGCCGCCTTCCCCTACCATATGTTCACACAAGGGAGCAGTAGATTATCTAACAATTCTTTCCCTAATCCTACTGCTAACCCTTGAACCCCCTCCATGCCCATCATCTCCTTCAGCTCCGTGAACCGAAGACGGCCGAGCGGCATGGTGAGGACATCCACGAGTTGCCGACCAGTTTCGACGAACTCGATGACGATCTGCCCTCCATCGACACAGTCCCTGAGGAAGTGGAACCTCACGTTGATGTGCTTGCTCCAGTCATGAAGAACCAAATTCTTCGCGAGGACGATGGCGGGCTAGTTGTCCACCATCAGTGCAGGTCGATGAGCTTCCACACCGGTCAGCTCGCCCAGCAGCCGGTGCTGCCACACAACTTGCCACGCCGCTGTGGCCGCCGCCACGTACTCTGCCTTGCACGTAGACAGCGCCACCACCTTCTGTTTCAGTGACATCCATGAGATTGGAGCCGACCCGAGGAAGACGAGCACGTCAGAGGTGCTCCGCCGTCCGTCGATGTCCCCCGCCATGTCCGCATCGCTGAACACAGTGAGCTGCAGCCTACTTTCGCCGGTCTTGGGGAAGACGATCCCCGGATCCACCATCCCCTTGATGTAGCGTAGTAGCCGCTTCACTGTAGCCCAGTGATCCTCTCTGGGATCCTCCATGAAGCGACTGACGTAGCTCACGGCGAGCGCAATGTCCGGCCTCGTGTGGACTAAGTAGCACAGACCACCGATGATGCTCTAGTAGAGTGTTGCATCTACCTTCGCAGTGGTATTGGCCTTCGTCAGCTTCAGTCGCTCCTCCATCGGAGTCACGCACGGCTTACACTCAGCCATGCCGCTCCGCTCCAACAGCTTCGAGGCGTATGCACTCTGACCGAGCGTGAGTGCCTCCTTCCCCTGTCTCACCTCGATGCCGAGGTAGTAGGAGAGCGCGCCGAGATCGCTCATTCAAAAATGAGCTGCCATCTCGCATTTGAAGCTATCGATGTCCTCCGCACACGCGCTAGTGACGATCAAGTCGTCCACATACACGCCGACGACAAGCTCTTCCTTCCCCCGTTGCCGCGTGTAGAGCGCTTGCTCGATTGCGCACCATGTGAACCCAAGCTCACCCAGTGTGGCGTCAAGCTTGGCGATCCACGCTCGCAGGGCTTGCCGCAGCGCGTAGAGCGCCTTGTGCAGTTGGAGCACCCTTTGCTCCGCTCTCTTGACGGTGAAACCCGGAGGTTGTCTGACGAAGACCGTCTCCGCCAGCTCGCCATTGAGGAAGGCTAATTTTACGTCTAGATGATGGACGCGCCAGTCATTTGCTACTGCCAAAGCTAGTAGCAAACGGACAGACTCCATGCGCGCTACCGGCGCAAAGACTTCCTCGAAGTCGATGCCCTCGCGCTGGACAAAGCCTCGGGCGACAAGGCGTGCCTTGTGCTTGACAATGGCGCCGTGCTCGTCCCACTTGAACTTGTACACCCACTTTAGGCCGATCGGACGGCATCCTAGAGGTGGATCGATGAGCTACCAAGTCTTATTTTCCTTGATCGTCTTCATCTCCTCCAACATCGCCCGTCTCCAATTTCCATCGTGCTCGGCCAGCGCGAACGTGGGTGGTTCCTCAACACTGATGAGAAGCAGCTCTGGATCATTGAGCAGCCTTCCCGCCAGGCCTGAGGGCCTGGTGCCGCCGACGATGTCGTCCAGCTTGCGGAAACACACCTCCTCACCTTCGTGGAAAGCATCCACGAACTCAGTGATATCACTTGGAGGTGAGGCAAACTCAATCGGCATCGATGGAGTTCCCTATTCCGCCGGAGTGATCGGCACAGCACCTGGAGTGCTCAGCACCCCGGATGCAGTGCTCAGCACTACTCCTGGAGTTGTCTGCACCCCTCCCGGAGTGCTCGGCACATGTCTTGTAGTGGTCGGCACCACTGCAAGACCCCTCGGCTCCGCTACGAGAGTGTTTAGCACCCATCCTGGAGTGGTCGACACCACTGCAGGACCTCCCGGCTCCACTCCTGGAGTATTCGGCACCCCTCCCGGAGTGCTCGGCAACTCCCTAGGAGTGCTCGGCTCTATCGCTGGAGTGCTTGGCACCTCTTCCCCAGCGTCTCCACCACTGTGGATGACCAAATGCTTGATGACGAAGGTGCTGGTGAAGCTGCCAGCTTCCCCCATGCTCAGACTATTCTAGTCCCATGCCACCTTCTCATCGAACACGACGTCGTTTGAGACAAGCACCTTGCCTCTGTGTGGGTCGTAGAGCCGGTATGCGTTGGTACCCTCCGCGTAGCCTAGGAACACCATCGGTGTGCTCCTATCCTCCATCTTGGTCAGGACAGGCTTCATCTTACTGACATGGCCGATGCAGCTAAATGTCTGGAGGAAGGACACGCTCGGCTTGCGTCCATGCCAAGCCTCGAACGGCGTCTTGCCCTCTAGGGCCTTGGTGGGAGCGCGGTTGAGGATGAACACTGCCGTGGTCACCGCCTCACCCTAGAACCCTATCGGCATTCCCTTGGCCTTCATCATGGATCGAGCCATGCCGACCACCGTCTGGTTTCGCCGCTCCACCATGCCATTTTGCTGCGACGAGTACGGCGCGGTGTGGTGTCGCACCACACCCTGATCCACGCAGTACGTAGCAAATTCCACCGAAGTGAATTCACCACCGCGATCAGTCCTCAGCACACGCAGCTTCTTGCTGCTCTTGGCCTTCGCGCGCGTCTT